ACCTCTGGTCCCCCTACTGATGTACCATATAAGGTGACCTCTGGTCCCCTACTGATGTTCTGTACAATATAAGGTGACCACTGGTCCCCCTACTGATGTACAATATAAGGTGTCCTGTGGTCCCCCTACTGATGTACAATATAAGGTGACCTCTGGTCCCCCTACTGATGTACAATACATGTATAAGGTGACCTCTGGTCTCCTTATTGATGTTCAATATAAGGTGACCTCTGGTCCCCCTACTGATGTTCAATATGAGGTGTCCTCAGGTTCCCCTTATGATGTGCAATAAAATGTTACCTTTGGTCCCCTATTAATTTAAAATGTAAGGTGACCTATGATCCCTCTAATGATGTACAATATAACAATAGGGTAAGGTGACCACTGGTCTTCCTACTGATGTACAGTATGATATAAGGTTACCTCTGGTCCATCTAATTACTTGCACGTTTCTGCTTATATATATATATATATATATATATATATATATATATATATATATATATATATATATCAGAAAATAGATCTGTATAAAGTTATAAATATGATTATTTTGGAGTAAGACAAAGAAAAGTGTTTATCATATAAAATTCAATTAATATGTAAGGTGACCTGAGGTCTCCGTATTGATATTGATGAATTTACTTTTGTGCCTTTAATGCCTGAAGAGTTCCTAAAATGTTTTATTACTACGCAAAATAACGAACTATTTGCGGGGGACCCGAGGTCCTAGTTGAGCATACGTTTTATCCTTCTGCTCAACTGTTACAGGGTTGCAAGAAATTCATCTCGTCTACAAACACTGAAAACCAATATGTATACCTCAAGTGCATCAAATGGCACAAAAAGATCGTAGAAAAACTTTTCATAATCAAATTGCACGTGTTTTTGGCTTTTTAGCACTTTTCCGACGTGACGTCATACATTTCACGGTTGAGTAATTCTGAACACTGATTTTAGTGCATAGTAACCAAGATTCTCATCTGACCAATTTTTGAAATTTTTGGTCATGCGATAAAAAAAAATTTCGCATATTATGTTACCCTGCGTTTCTTTTTCCTTTCAGTATATACGAATACGGTCACGTCACGGTGACACTGTTATCGGTTTGATCACGAACCGGAACTCGTGCTGGAATGACAATCGTACTACCATGTACACGCACTAATCTCCATTGTATTTATAAAACCTGTATAGTTTTCTCACAAAATAGTTTCTCCTACCAGGTTGCGAAATATATATTTTATAGCACTGAGCATTTTATCTGGACAAGAGCATGGCCGTTATAGTTTTGCTTCAAAGGATATCCAGAAGTGTTGTGATTCTTAAAAGTAATTCGAAATTTAAAAAAACCCATTTGTTTATGAATGACTTTGAATTGTCATACATTTTTGGAAACCGCTCATGTGAATTGACTCAGGAAATAAAACAAGGAAATTGACACACATGTACAAATTTATATTCTCTAAAAGGTTTTTAAAGTAGGTCATTTTTCTGAACTTCGTAAATCAAAGAAATACATTTTTAGCTCACCTGAGCCAAAGGCTCAAATGAGCTTTTCTGATCAAAATTTGTCCGTTGTCTGTCGTCGTCGTCGTTGTCGTAAACTTTTCACATTTTCATCTTCTTCTCAAGGACCACTGGACCGATTTCAACCAAACTTGCCACAAAGTATCCTTGGGTGAAGGGAATTCAAGTTTGTTCAAATGAATGGCCATGTCCTCTTCTAAGGGGAGATAATTATGAATTAGTGAATAATTAATGGCATCTTTTAAAATCTTCTTCTCCAGAAACACTGGGCCAGGAAAGATGAAACTCATGTGGAAGCATCCTCTGGTAGTGTAGATTCAAGTTTGTTCAAATCATGACCCCCAGGGGTATATAGAGTGGGGACATTATGGGGGATCAAAGTTTAACATAGGAATATATAGGGAAAATCTTTATCATTTCTTCTCAAGAGCTACTGGGACATGGAAAATGAAACTCATGTGGAAGCATCCTCTGGTAGTTTAGATTTAAGTTTGTTCAAATCATGACCCCCAGGGGTAGGGTGGGGCCATGATAAGGAGTCAAAGTTTAACATTAGAATATATAGGGAAAATCTTTTAAAATCTTCTTCTCAAGAACTACTGGGCCATGGAAAATGACACTAATGTGGAAGCATCCTCTGGTAGTGTAGATTCGTTTGTTCAAATCATGACCCTTGGGGGGGGGGGGTAGGATGGGGCCTCAATGGGGGATCAAAGGGACCACTCATGCATTTAAGATTTTAAATACTAAACTGATATTTGCTTTTTTCCTAGCCTCAGGTGAGTGATGTGGCCCCTGGGCCTCTTGTTACATTATTATGTAGCTGTATGCCGTTATCAAAGGTGAAGGACATTAGGAGGTCAATCATATAACCTTTAACCTTGGTCTGATTTCTTTGATTCCCGTAAATGGAAAACTGGTGCAAATATTCTTCGTAAACAAGTTGTTGTTTTCCAAATAGCGAATTCACCTGCCTACCAACAGACGTAAGTCTGCATTATTCCCAGTTTGTTTTGACATACAACCTTCAGAGGTATTATGAAAGTCATTGAACAAGGAAGTAGGTGCACATGTCCTTCGTTTAATATTTTGAGCGAAAAAATCTAAATTTTTATTGCCGCAAAAAGCATACAGTGTCATATAATCTTTGTTAATAAATTGTTGTACATGTATAATCCACTCTCATTTTTAAACTAAAAAATGCTTCGAAATCGTTGTTTATGCTGGAATGAACAGTTTCAACTTGTGCAAATAAAGAACCAACAGAACATAAAAGTCTTATTTTTTTTAATGCAAAAGTTGCACCCTTCAATCTTGTTCAATCTTAAACTGGGCACCCCAGTTTATCTTAACCTATGAGACATGACCTTGAGTCAATGTTATATCATCGTTCTGAACAATTTATTACAGTCAAAGAAACGCTGCATTTCATTTCCGGAAATCTGCATAGCATTTCCGACATTTTTTCATTTCATTTCCTACATAATTCTGTTTTCATTTCCGGAATTTACCTTGCGGCAATTCATTGTTTTCCTAGTCAGCGAAAATGCAATTTTAAAAGTATTTATTGCAAAATATTGATTAAAAAATATATATATCCATTTATTATACATATTTGCATACATGTAGCATTTAGTCTAGGTAAAAGAGTACAATGAACATACAACTTTTTCACCTCATTTAATGTGCGCTAAAGTAAATGTTATTGACAGCACCAAATTTATGTCTAAGACACTTGATGTACTTTATGTCTGAGACACTTGATGTACTCTAATCGAATTTTTACACCGGTTGATACCATATTTATTGTACTGCTCTACACTGAACTTTAATTTTTCTGCTTTAAATCTGCGAAGAGTAAACATTGAATCAATCACTCAAACTTTAGTTGAGGCATTTTCCATTTTCACAGTCGTTTCATTGATAAATTTACAAAAACTCAGAAATTGGATTTCAATGATGTATTTGTGATTTGTATTCCTTTAAATTTTTCATAGGTAAAGTCTTCAAATCTGTTACTAAAAGTGCGATCTGAAAAATGTCGGAAATAAAAACAAAAAAGTGTCGGAAATGAAAACTAAAAATGTCGGAAATGAAAAGTTGATAATTACTAAAAATTTCGGAAATGAAATGCAGCCCTTTCCGCCATATTGGAAAGGGATACGCATAGTACATGTAAAAGTCATTTCTTTGGGCTGCATTTCATTTCCGGAATTTTTAGTAATTATCAACTTTTCATTTCCGACATTTTTTAGTTTTCATTTCCGACATTTTTTGGGGGCCTAAGGGTTGGAGCTTAACCTTTAAAATTACTGCTATCGTTAAAAAGTTACTTTAATTTACTACTGGACATTAAGCATTTCAACTGTTGGCATTATTTGTAATGAACATTGATCTTTTTACATACATTGTGAAATTTATGGCCCCAAAGTCAAGAGTTCTGGGGATAGGGTTGGGTTCTAATGATCATAGTTATATTGAAAATGCATAATTCTTTGAAAATGTTCTCCTATTGCCCTTTATATTTATCAGATATTTTAGATGCATGATATTATGATGAGCAAGGGTGTCGATTCCAAAAATGTGAAGGTTGTGTCAGGGACATTGAATATGGGGTAAGGCGTGATGGGAAGCAGAGCTATATTTAAATGTATTCTACTGAGTGTTATTCCCCATTTCTATTCACCTTTGATCATAATTAATCATTGTAAATGACGTGACTGAAAAGTAAATTGAATTAGAAAATTTTACAAGAAATTTCAAACTATGAAATGAAAAATATACTTTCTTAGTTTTTTAATGACCAAAAAGACTTGAAAAAAAAAAACAGTTATATAAAAGTAGGACAAAAATGTCTTGTTTTTATCGATAAATGTTCTTCAAAGACGGAAAAGAGGCCTATATGTAACAGGGAGTGAAATACATGTAGGTATTACATGTAATTATAGCTTCCAATCATACTTGTGTACTTTTGTGGCGATAGTGGCAAGGGCAGGTAAGTAGATACATTTATTTTAAGATTTGCTATCGAGTTCTTTACTGACTCTTCCAATTAAAAAAAAATGAGGGTCCCTGATCGCCACGCCCTTTTTTGCTTCTGAGAGATATAACTTCATCTTTCGGTTAAATTATTTTTTCAGTTAAAAAAAACTATTTAGAATTTAAAGTGTAGTTTTATATTAATGTGACTGTTGATGTCCTTGGGCCTATTGTTTTTACATAAAATTTAATTAATTTCCAATATATAAAAACATAAAAATGAAAATATCAATATACTATGTATGGAACTATTTTGATGAGACACTGATCAGTCTGCGCAGTTGACCACGCCCATCAGAGGAGCTAGAGAAAGGTTTGCCCGGAATAAAATTAGACTGGACACCTAGAGGGGACATTATAATTCTGACGAAAATTCAAAATTTAACTCGCATTTCCTACATGTGCACAGAAATGAACCAAGCATCACACAGTCCGATATTATTCATAATTTATTTAATATCCTGTAAATATATTTACAATATTGCTATATATAGTGGTAAGATATCAATATACTACAAATTAAAATATAAGTACGTATAAATAAGGTCACAAATATAAAGAACTAAAGCTAGAGAAATATGTTGCTACAACATTTACTAGCTAAATTGGTGCACATCTCTTAGCCCAATTCAATGATACATTGTACACATTGCAGTGGTTGATAAACAGTTTACAATTAATGTCAAATGATTTAATAAAATGGTATTTTATACATGCTATTTCAAGCTACTTAACGCTCTCTCACTCTTGATGTGGCGTGAAAATGTCAGTAAATCACCCGTCGACCATTCGGTATTTCTGTTTAAGTGTTACAAATGATTTATTTCATTAACATAAAGATAAACGCATGCGTGAATATGATTTATAAAATCGACTTCGAATAAATGTTTGAGTTACGATGTCATATGTATTTATCTAAAACATAAAGTGCATCCATGTTTTACAATCTCACTCATCATTTACAAATGTCACTAGGGACACGTCAAAACTTGTTGCACAATTGCTTACAACATACATAAACTGTCAGTGTAATTTGAATATAAAAACAGTAAAAAGGGGCTATATATTTTTAGAAAGTATTCAATCAAATGCTTGTTGTGTGGTTAAATTGATACCTCCAAATATCTCTAGACTTTAATGATGGCCAGGAAACATCTTATCAGCCGGGTTATTCAGCTGGCGCTTGTTTCTCGATAAGAAGCTAATAAAAATTGCAATTATGGCATTACATTCAAATAGCAATGTGCAAACTGTAATTGCGTAGTTATAGATACTTATTATGCTAATCTTGATGGGAATTACAGTATTCAGTGATAGTGTGAACTAGCCAGATTATACATAAAGGCGTAATCGACGTTTTCCGTCGCAGTTTGGTGTTGAATTACCACAGGGTTTTTAAAGTTAAATAACTGTTACAGTTACTGAACTATATGTATACAAATGGGAAGAAATACTGTTAATCACAACTGCGATCGACTTAACAGTCACAATTTATTGTCCGTTTTGAGTCTTCACCTGATCTTCCTCGGATTCCGGCTCCTTCTTTTCCTCGATTTCACCGATTTCTACTTTTTCCAGTTCATCGGCCTTTTCCGCTTCCGGTCGCGCTCTGCTTCTGGTTAAGCAGCGCTTAGTTCTTCCAAATGTGGCACCAGCAGAAAAAATATATTCATATAGAAGAGCTGCGACAAAACTGCCGACAAAAGGGCCAATCCAAAATACCTAAAGTTAAAAAACAACTGAAATTAGGTCATATTCATAGGTAAGCCTTTGAATCACATTTAAAAAAGATATAACTTATGGTTTTTGAATTTCCCATGATTCCGAGAGAAATTATGTTTGCTTTCAAAGCCACAAGAAAAGGTTCATTTACAACATACCCAATGGGCGTCCCAGGCGTTTTGAATGACAGCGGGTCCAAAACTTCTGGCGGGGTTCATACTACATCCGGTATAGGCGATCTGTAAAACACAGCGTACAATAAAATTAATCCATAACAAGATAATTTATGAAGTGATCGCGTGGGGTGAAAAATTTCCGACCCATCACTGTAAAGCAGTTGTTTAGATAGAGTTAAGTGCCAGAGTCTGCCACCGTGAAAGATCTTGGGTTTTGGGGCCGCACGTGTTCTCGACAAGTGGTCAGAATTTGATATGAAGTTTATTTATCGCTTTCTATATCAACATAAAACAAATATTTTTTCATCCTATTTTGCTCTCTGTAAAAGTTTTCTTTATCAGGTCACATTCAATAAACTCATTTGCATACTAGTATGTTAAATTTTTTCACTATTAATTTGTAACCACATTCCCCAAACTATAGTCAAGTGGCTTTTTGTGAAATAGCACAGAAAAATATGATCTTATTACGAGAGATAAAGTATAAACATAGGCAGATGGACGTTGCCTTAATTAGGCTAGCGTCATTCCTGTGTATCGTCTTATAACATGAGCAGGTCGGCGTAAAGGCAAAATTGTTTAGATTATACTGATTTGAACATTAAACAGAGATAAACTTTTGATTAAGCTGACCTCCTGTTTCTTTGTACAACACAAGTAGCAATAATTTCCCCTTAAAGAAGCCAAACATATATAGTTTATCACTGTCAGAACACAACGCCCTCTGCACTGATATCATTTAACCAAAAATATGCAAGATTTTCTTGGACTTTTCTAAAACTTTAATTAAATACAGTCAAAAGTAATTTTCTTAAATGTTTGTGTTTTAAAAAGTTTGAAAAAAATATATCTGAGAAAAAGGAATTTAATAAAAAGAAAGATTAAAAATGATAACTTTGACGGAAGACCTTGATTCTTGAGCGACTAAAATTAATGGTCACTACTCATCTGATGATGGTCAGTTTTATTTGTAACAACCGAAAAATTCACAAACTTTCTTCAGATAACAAAATTGACAAATAGCTTTATAATTTACTTACGGCTACCAAATGTCCAACGACGACTGACAGACCAATAGTCAGAGGCGCGGATCCATGGAGGTCAGTTCGCTTCTCATCGATTGATGCTAGGACAGTAAACACTAATACAAACGTGATCATCACCTCCACCCCGAAACCTTGGGCTTCTGTAACCTCCCCGTTCATTGCGTTAACGCCTAGCCCGCCACGGGCGTTGGTGGGCGTTATTCCGAATAGAATTGCTGCTCCCATAATGGCTCCAATGAGCTGTGACACAATATACATCAGGGCCCGGACAATACTCACACGCCTTGTAACAAGGGCTGCTAAGGTTACCGCGGGGTTAATATGACCTCCGCTAACATGGGCGATGCCCCAGACCATCGTACCCACGATCAGCCCAAAAGTAAGGGCTATTTGCACGTAGTCTGCTGGATTGTCAGATTGCTTTTGCTGCCCCGTAGCGGTTGCACACCCGAAAAAGACCAGGAACATGGTTCCCAGAAGTTCTGCAGCAGCAGATCTCCACAAGTTGGGGCTAGTCAAATCCTCCAAATTTTCCCTCATGATTTTCCACATGTTATAGGACCGAGCACCTCAATGAAACTGTTTTTTGAAAGCTTATCTCTCTGCGCACCCAAGAGTGAGGTTTGGAAAAAATTGAATAGAATCAAGTTATACAGTGCGAACGCGCATGTCCATGGAATTTGGGAAAAAAGTGACCTCCCTCTCGGTATTTCTAGAACTCCACAAAGAGTATAACTGGGAAATGTAACGCGTTTAGAGATCTGTCCAATATCACATTAAGTTGCGAACATTAAATTATAGAATTTTGTGAAGATAATTTGATTTATATTCAAAATATTTACTTATTTCAAAAAAATATTTAGAATATGCCATTTAATGAAAATGATTATTTTGCGGAGAAGCACTTTTTATAATACTGATAATTTTTTCCAGACAATTTTTTTTTCATTGACCACACTTTAGTACATGCATTTATATAGTCGACGTGTGAAATTTGACAACCTTGTCACAATGGAATGCCCATTCATTACAAATAAACCACACTTCCCATGTTCATTATTTATGCACCTAAAGATTATATATCATTTTATTCTCTGTCATTTTAAATGTAAACAGGGTCATCATGATATTATGACCTGAATATGTAGAGTGTTAAGTTTCTCGGACAACCTTCTTATGACGTGTGTGTAGCGTATTCAAAAGGAAAACCATTTCATAATATTGTATCAAATGTTGTACGTGGGGTTATATTTCAATACAATATGAAGGTGTAAGTGCATAAATAAAGAAATACTATTGTTGCTTTAAATTGTGCTAGTTAGAGTGCACAGTTTGGGAGCCTACTTAAACTGACTGGGGAAGTAAATTTTGAATTTCATATTTTTTTCCTGATTGAAATGGAGAGAGGGTATTAACTGTTTTAAAGTGACTGGGAAAGGAAAACAATAGTACAACACGTAGTGACTGAACAATACAAAAATCAGTTTTTATTAAAGGAAATGGTCAAAATGTAGGTGCTAAAAATGTTCGTTACGTAACATGTGGTCTAGTGTACAAGCGACACTGCATCAAATAAACATGCTGTTAATGAACATTGTTCCTCCTACGAATACAAATTTAATCACGGTGGATGTGGGTAAAAACGAAAGTAAGAACAAACTTTTGAAAGTCAAATTTGATATATACATGAAGGAGGAAGCAAACAATTCCCATAAACATGCACATGGTGTTCGGTATGCTTTGAAATACAATAAAATGTAGGGTTAAGTCACTGCGTAACATGATTCCTCTATCTTTTGATCAGAAAAACCTTATTTTGATAGACATAAACATTAAATGTGGTAGTATGTCACCTTTAATAACAAATGTATTTACGTCAATGTACCTTAAGATTAAGTTCACGCATTTTCTGTGATTGTAAATTTGAATAATATTTTGAATGAAAATATAAACATGCTCAAACATTTTATTCATAAAACTTTGGGGCGATTTTTACTGGAAATCGCCAAATAACATAGTTCATATTCGAGAATTATACTTTGAAATTGTAAAATATAATCAATAGTAAGCTTAAGCTTTAAATATTTCAATGATTTGGCAAATGATTTTCTATTAATATATAAAATGCTAAAGTTTCCAATCTTTCAAATGAATATCTCTGACATAAACATCTAGGTTCATTTTTCTTTTTTAAATATTATTTTCGTTTTCTTTCTCCTACTCTTATTTTTTTGTCTTTGCAAATCAGAGGGGAGAAAAATTATGAAGAGAGTTTTAGAATTCCTGTGAAATTGGAACCCAGCGACATTAAGTGCAGGACTTAATCTCTGGCTGCAGATATATTTGTAACATGCCAAAATTACAAACGAAATTCAATTTAAATTTCAATGGTATTTAAGTGCATGGGATTTAAGATAAAAATTTGTTATTTATTACCAGATGTATTTAGGTCAGCTTTTAATAAAGTTTCAAACTTTTACCCATGCATATCGAAGAACTTACATAACTAAATTTCCATATTTTATTCTGCATGGTTTCGTTTGTGAGAAAAAGGAGTGCAGCTTTGCAAAGCCCTATATTTCCACATGTGGAAATTTTTGCAAAGTAGTTTATAAACCACAACCAAGAATCGTATTTGTAAAATCAACAACATTTAAACAGTTTATAGTTGTTTAATACTTTTGTTATTATTCAGGGAAATTTCATGCCATAAAAATCAACAAACCCTTGACGATTCTTCAAGTTTTCTTAACAATAAGATTGAAGTGCTCCGATAATATATTGAGGGCGTGGATATCAATACAAAGACAACAAAATATATGTAAGCAACACATATTTGATCTGCAGCTGTTTTATCAATTTATCTAGATTTTCTTCGCTGATCCTATGGTATTTTTTTTTATTTTGTATTTTTTCTCTTACGCTACATCTCTGGCTAGAATTAAAGCCTCGCCCTAGTTCAGTTTCAGACAAATTAAAATAAATGTGCATAAACCAGATCCCGCTCTGTTTGTGTTGGGGTTCTTGTTCACTGCATATCACACTTCAAACAATTTTGTTATCCTCTAAATCAGAGTTTGAGATTAGGGGTTGACTTTCTAGGATACAAGTACTTGTAGAACTCTACATTCAATTTGGGTGCTGTTTAACATTTGACTTTTCGTTTCATTTAATTTAAATAAAAAATGAAATAGAAATTAGTGTGCCATATTGATAAAAAGTTTAATTTCATGTATCAATACTTTTTCATTTATTCTTCGATAAACCATGATATATGATACGTTTATTCTTTGAATCTGGAATGTCTTGCTTGATAATATTGTACCGCAAAGTACGATTTCATTTTTTTCATCTAATTTTATAAAATAAAAAAAATTATGTTTTATTTTTGAAAAAGGATTTATTTTAAGCAATAATTTTTTTCTTTTCCATCATAGAATGACATTTTCCAGAAAAATAAGCTGGGATATCAGCAGCAGAAATAAGAAATTTCCATCAGCTTTGTCTGTTTTGATTAATATGATATCATCCACACTATATATTTTTTCTCTCTCTCCCAAACTAAGACATTTCTATACCTTACTGATCAGCATTTCTTTAAAAAAAAAGGGGAAAAAAAAAGAAAAAAGAAAAAAAAAGAGTTTGAAAATGCAATGCTTATTCCTCGGTTTCTCAAGCACCCTCTGTGTTTTATCTATGTGAACCGATTGGGGGTGTAAGAAACCATTAAATTCCTAGGGTTTCTGCTAATTTTTAACTGAATGATGTTGGGACGAATAAAACAAGTCTCCAACAGGCCTATCGCTTATTTGCAAGCTTGTAAAATCTGACATATATAACCAACTTCTGAGGAACGATTTAATGATCGATATAATTTTTCGCACCTTTACGATCTTTCTGAATTTTATCACAAATCTATTTGAAACACTCTGGGTCATCAAAAGTATTCAATATTATACCTCATCGTTTTCGTATCTTATAGATTACATGTAAACTCTCTTCATTCTCTCTCCCTCTCTGATTTAGAATTTGTAAAAACCATGAAAGGCGCGAGGTGCTTGAATATGTTGTATAAATTCTGTGGTTACCCGAATTTTGCTCTTCCTCGCAGAACTGCTTACTCTAAGATCGTAAAAACTGACCATCTGCTAAATCAAAATGTACAGGGCGTGTGAAACATAAAAAAATGTTATTTCTCAGTGGGCAGAAAGATTATCAAACATACTTGATTGAAATGGCAAATGCCTCAAATGGACTGTATAGCGTCACGATATCGTAAAAAAATTCCATCTTTGAAATTATTATTCCTATCACAAGATTATAACCCAAGGAAAACGAATCATTACGAGGGTCAATAATTCGTAATTTTGTAAACTAAGACAAGTATTTCAAAGAATGATGTTTATTATTATTATTTTTTCTTTTTGTGGTATTATTTGACGTCAAAGAACGATATAGGTCCCAGGGTCAGTTATCGAAAATTTGACAGAAATATGTTGATCCTTACCACTCTTGTGACTTTTGATTTTTACATAAATCATGTATATATATTACACAAGCCTACAGTATTGTAAACATTCTTTAAAAAATTTGTAACATCAAAAAATATCGTATTTAAGTTTTTAAAGTTTTATATAATACCGCATATTTGAGTTCATCTCACAATATGCGCCGTTATCAAAGCTCTATCCTTTTATTATATGTCATCATTCATCTCCTTTTTGTGGAAAAACTAATAAATGTGATAAGCCGGAATTTATTTATCCATCCATACAGTGTCGGTACTTAGGCACTAGGTTTACGGATTATCTCCCCTTTTCTATCCATCAATGAAAGTGAAAGGTGGGTGATGAAAGTATCCGATTTATGTTTTTGTATTATGAAATATTTTATAATAATTTTCAGTTTTTAAAGTTAAGTTTCAGTCAAAGAAGTAAAACAGATTATCTTATTAACATTGATATTGCTCGATGGCAAGTATTTTATTGGATTGAAACAGATCGATTTGCCACCCGTCCATGCTTTAAACACTGGCACATGGTACAAGATTACAATGTGGTAATGATAACCAACTTCATCAGCAGATTTTGAATGAATAAAAACTTACTTAGTGAAATAATATATAAACAAAATGAGCTAATGTAAAAATAGGTATGAACTTCAACTTTATTCGGTCCATGTTATTCAAGGTCATCAGTCATTTGCCAATAAACATCCGTACACATGGTGGCCTATATTTAGTTACTTAGATCCCTTAGCCTATCTTTAGGGGATTTAAAAATGGGAATATCCATAATTATAATTCTTACAGTATGAGTATGCTTTTGTAACTTTGGGTTTGGTGCATTTATCAGTTTATTTAAAATATTGAGTGATTTTTTAAAAAGAATAAATAAATGAATGTTCAAGGATAGGGTGACCCTAGCTGTGCCATATCAGTCTACCTTTTGTCCTAAAACAGTGAATAAAGAAAAAAATACAGATTGAGAAGTAATAAAAGTTTTACAAATCTTTAGAAATGTTATTTAGCTAGATTCACAAAGGGACAGAACTCTAATTAAAGTATTTAAATTTCAATCAAGGCCATTCAACTTTAACAAGGGTCCAAAGAGAGGCATGAAAGATATGCAATTGCGACAAAGGCAGTAATCAATTGTGAAATAAAATAGTTTGAAGTAAAATACATAACAAGTTTTGGTGCTTTTGAATGTAACA